TAGCGTATGATATTCTTACTCCAGAAGCTCAAATATCTCATGCGCATACCGCAAGATGTTCACCTAGGGAATTCAATTGAATATAATTATAATTCTCGACTTGTTGTCATCAAAAATTTCATCCACGATACTTAGTTAGATATGATTGTAGATAATCATAGTGTATTTCGTGGTTATAGCAATTGCCACTTTGAACGTCAGATCATGTATTCAACTGGTGGTAGGTCTGCTACGTATATGATTAGAATTAGTGATTTCAACAATGATACACTACTCAATTCTGTTACTTCTGACTATAGTAACCAACAATATCAGTGTACAATTTAGATATGTAAATGGAAATCTTTCAAGTTCCATGATGTTTTCAACACACTACGGTTCTTCTCTAATCTCAGTGGTGGCTTGAGATTTCAACAATGATAGTGAACTAAACCTTACCATTACCAACTCTGTCATATACAATGTAGGTGTTTGGATGTGAATGCGTGTGGACACTTTTTTTTTCTTCAATTACAGTTACATTCAAAAAAAAAAGTCTCACAATTAATAATCTCTCATCGTCTAATAATAGTGTTCTTAAATATGTTTCATTCAATATATAACAAATTCAAAATCTTTTTATTCTATAACAAAAAAAATAATATCTTTTTAAACATATCAACAACCTATTCTTAATATTATGTGCAATAAAACAAATCATGAATCAGTATAATGATCAGTTAGTTTGATACGTTTACGACCAGTTCTATGTTGCTGTGACATATTCATCTTTTCCGTACCAAGCCATATGTATAGTTCATAGCTTTCTTTACAATATGTTAAATCTCTTCTATCCGAAAGCCATTCAATAATTGTTGTCTGCCAGGTAGGTTTACCATTGATATATCGAAATACAACACTTGACAAATGATCAAGTCGTTGGAGTATGATTTTTATATGGTTCATTGATCCAACATCAATTTCCAGATGTTTAATATGACTAGGAATCATGGAGCATAACTGATTTATAATCTTAGTATCAGTTATAACAAGCCAAGGAATAATAATAATGAGTGAACGAACATGGCATGCTTGTTCTAATATTTTTAAGACGTTTGTTGTCATAATTTGAGAAGAATCTTGAGGAAATTTATCAACCAACTCAAGCTTTTTAATTTGTGACAAATCGATGAGTGTCGAGATCAGATGAACACAATCAATTGTCCAAGTGCTATCAATTCGAATATTGAGATCAGATACTTGATGAAACAGTCGGGTTATAGATGTTGAATTCTATTTTTGAATAAAAGATAATTGAAAAACAAAATCAGATTATTAGAACTCTATAAAGAATATTCAATGGGTTTTAGAAATAAGTAGAGACTAAAGTTTCTTCTATAATTCAAATAAAAATAAAAATAAAGATGCTTTTATTTTAAAATAAAAATATTTATTCGATATTGAAAAAACTGAATCAAATAGTTTATTTTCTTGTGGAATTTAGGAAAAAAAGTGAGTCACTAGTTGTTAATTAAAATCGCTTCATTAAATATGAGACTCTCAGTTATGAGGATACTTCACTCCAAAACATTCTTCTTTAGATAAAAATTTTTCAAGACCTAAACTCTACTTTGGAGACAGCTCCTCTCTTTTCAGACTGGAAATTTTTAGATTCTTCATTTTTATTTTTGCTCTACATAAACTTCGAATGATATTCTATCTATTGAACATATTTTAAGAATTAATATTTAACTACAAAAGTCAAGAATTAAGAAAAAACGAATTTTTTTTTTGCCAAAAAAAAACCAAGAGTTACTCCTGTTTCTCAACCACAGTACACTTCATCGAACTCAATTGTGTTTATGAGTATTTTGGTCCAATTAGACTACGTGTTCGTCTTTTCTTAAAAATACTGTTCCTACGAAATTCGACAACGTTGAAATAACTAATGTTATTGAAAAAAAAACATACTAGGATTTGACTTTAGTGGCCATGAAAGAAAAAAACTTGCAACTCAAAAAGATGCGGTACTGACTTCTGCTGGAGGAAGATGGAAGAATTTCATAGAGATCTATTTGTTTTCAAAGTTCGATCATTTTTCGTCAAGCTATTTTCGAGAAACGCCAGAGATGGGGACGTCCCTTAAGTCAATGATGAACAATTTTCTTAAATATCATTAAATTCCTCTCTTTCCACGAGCACAAAGAGGAATATCTATAGACTGTTTGTAGTATTTTTGTCCGTATACAATGAAGATCATTCTTGTGCTCTCAAGTATGCGTAAAACTTGCGAGCACAGTACTCTTTTGCGAGTTCAAGTAGTGAAATAACATTTGAGAAGAAATCTAATTCAATGGAATAATTACAATTTGTAGTTAATGTTTTATTAATCTTCAACATTTATATCGATTCATTGATGAATAGTTTTACTAACGACCATATTTTTCGTTAAAGAAGATGGTATTTTCAAGGAACTATTGAATCATATTTAAGTTATTTGTTAGTTACTGCAATGTATACCCAATTCGTAGAGAACTCAAGCTGAAAGATAGGAATACTTTTCCAACTTTTTATAAAAGTCTTATTATTCTTTTTCTTATTTTACCTGTTTTTTCGTAGTTGCAGCCATTATTTCTTTTGTTTCTAAATAAACACTATGTATATGATCCATCATTGTTGTATCATTATTCATTTCAGTTAAAGTCGAAAATATAATCCGATTCGAATCTGGATGATATTCGAAATGACGATCAATAGGAGGTATCGAATAGAGTCGTATTTCATCGTCTAGATGTCGAAAATCACGTGGTACATGTCGAATAAGTTCACATGTAACAAACCAATGTTTGATTTCAAGCCAGAATACTGTTTGAAATAAAGTAATCAATCGTCGAATATTGATCGAACGATAATCAATATCGACTTTTTTAGTTAAAAAAAAGTCAAATTTATTTAACTTCAATAGTTTTGTTTGAATAAATTTTTCCCATGGAAAATCAATTCGATCTATATCACCAATCAATCGAAGATGTACTAATGCCGGTGTATTCGAAAGAATTATTTCAATTTTATCCATATCTAAACTAGCATTTTCCATTGTAAGTGAAATTAATTGTTGCATCGGTACAAGATTAGTGATTTTAATAATTGGTTCATCATAATCAATTAAATTACAATAATCAATAAATAATGTTCGTAAACAAGAAGAGTGATGAAAAATAATCGAAAAATGATTTGAATAACAGTCGAATAATGTTAGATGTGATATTGTACATTGCATTGGCCAACATAACATATCAGTACCATCTTCTAGTACATTTATTGTCAATTTTTGAAGACTAGGTTGTTTAAGAATAGTCGAAAGAAGATGATTAGTTGTTTTTGAACGATTATAAATATCTTTCTGTTTAATTGATAATGAAATAAGTGTACAATTTTTAACATGTTTTAGAATTTGTTTCAAATAACGATCTTCAATATCAATAAGTGTTAATGAACTAAGTCGTGTAAAATGTTCGATACGAAATAATGAAAAAAATAATTGAATTTGACCTGGTGTTATATGTTGATCAGAAAGTGTAAGTGAAATTACATTTGTTGGTTGAATAAATTGACAAATACGATCAAAGTTAAATTTTAATATTGACTCAAAATTAAGTTTATAACAATCGTAAACATTTACAATCATATACAATCGTTTACATACATAACGAAGTGAAAGAATAATTGTTTGTTCATCAAGATTAGTGAAAATTCGATGAATAAGTTCAACAGGTAGTGTATCGAGTGATGAAGTCAATGTAGTAGACATCAATAAGATGAACGAGAGAGATCTAACAAAATCAATGTTATATATGATAGTAAACTTTTCGTTTATGTGACTGACATTATGAAAAACCAACAATAAAGAAAGAAAGAAAAATATGTAAAGTGAGAAAAGAGGGCGTTGGTCAACAATCGAAATCTCTAAAAAAAAACCTCTTTCAAATTTCCATCTGTTCAACTTTATCCATTTGTTCTTCCACTTCAGGAAAACCGACTATTTTCTCGGATAGTTTTCATAGCTCAAATTTGAAGAGTACACATCCAAATAGGTTTGAAATAGGACAGCGCAAATGTTATACAGATAGGAAGACTAGTAGAGAGGTATAGGAACAAAAAAATTTGATTGCTTGGATGTGAGTGTATTAGTCTTCTCTTCCACCACATCCACTACTCTTCTCTATAAGTATTTTCATAAAGTAATTCCATCTGACTATCTTTCATTCAATATTCTCTTTTTTTTTACTCGATAAAAAGAAAATACTAATAAAATAAAAATTAGGAAAGATACTGAAAATAGTGCCATTCATGAGAAAAACGTATGTTTTGTCGAATGAGAGTAAAGATTTGTAATATGAACTCTTTCAATTGATAAAATTCAATAAAATGAGAGGAAATAGAGAAAATGCAATATTATTCATCGATGTTTCAGTAATAATCGAATCTTTAGAGAGTGAACTTTCTTTTTTGATTTTCGCTTGTTGCTCAGTATCGATTAAAACGAAAAATGGTTGAAATAAAGAGGAGATCGTCGAATTTCTAACAGATTATAGAAATGCATGATTAATTAATCAACACAATATTAAACAAAACCAACTAACTAATCATCTTTCAATTCTATATAAGCTCATTTTTTCCACGATAAAGATTATTATATATTTTTTCTCTCATCAATGGAATGACTTTTTCTGTTTTGAATGTAAGAGTAATTTAACTAGATAAGTCATTCTATTGATGAGATGTCTCTCTTTTCGTTTTTTTCCTAATACAATAAACTATTATTGCATTGTTATCCTGCATAGCAGAACTCTTCTTGTTTTTGATACGCAAAACAATGCCGAAATGATCCTTTCATGATACATGTTCATACTTGTATATATTGTGCACCTTCTCAAGAGGCATAGTTCTCTTTGTGTAATCAATAAAATAGAGTTTCTCTGTAAGTTTGCCTGTTTCTTGTCACAAAAAATAAAAATATTCTTTCTATTTAAAATCTTTATTGTTGAACAAAGAAAAATAATCATTTATATTTTCTTTTTTTTTACACATTCGAAATTTATGTTCCATAGTTGAAGGTAAGGGTAATTTGTAAGTAGTCAACATTGTTCACTATTAACAGTACGTTCATAATGCGAGAATGCTTTCGGATATTCGTGCACGTCCTCATATAATCTACCAATGTCGTTGTAACACACGGCGAAATGAAAGTGATTTGTAAGTAAATTATTTAAAAATCCCGAGTGTTTTCTAGTGAAACGAAAGTGATTGTTTCATGTCGAAGAAATATGAGAACTTCATCCTGAACAGAATGCTACAGGTAATTCTATCGAGAAAAAAGAACAGTCAGTTTAAAAAAAACATGTGCCTTACAATTCTAGATTATTGTCAGAACAGCTATTCAAATAACATAGCTATGATTCAGTGTATTGAACAATATGGCAGATAATTTGCAAGACTTTGAATTTCAATTTGTTTTGCACTGGTTAATAGAGAGACTCTTGTTAAAGATCTGATACATGTTATTATTGCGGATTTCTCATACAATGCATGAAAATGTTGAAAAAATCCTCTTGACTTTGATGGCTATATGTCGATCGAAAAACTGAATATATCATTTTATAGCCAGTTTTGAGAGATCGTCCATTGTATATAGGAAATCATGTTTTCTATGAAATTTTGAAACAATTAGAGTAGACTTGTCAGTGTAATTCTATTTTATCTAATATAAGCATCGATAATAGTAGACAAAGCTATTAAGAAATACTGGGTGTGAGTGCGAGTATGAAAAGAGAATGAATATAAGAAGTAATCTCATCATACATATTTCAGTACCTATCTTTCTCATTTAAGATTTATTGATGGTAAGATTCTAACAGAGATATATTAGTGATTCACTACTTAAAGTATTCTTTTTCCAAGATCAAGTCACTTAACAAAACGAAACAGAACAATAGAAATGTTAATGTGGTGCAATCACTTTTGTAGAGAAATAGTCACTTTCTATCTCTAAAGTCTCATATCAGCAAAAAAAAAGAAATAGAGAAACGCTCCTGGATGGACTCGAAGAATTTATTCAGTAATAATGATTATAATGATACATGATTAGGTCTTGCTGAGCAGAATGATGGAGAGTCGCAATTGATGAACAAAGTCAAACCATCAATCTTCCGGTTAGAGGCCGATTGCGTTAGCCGTTGCGCCACAAGAGCACAAGTGTCCATAGAATTTTGAGGATACTGTCATTCATTTTCTATAAATCTTTGGATTTAGTTTCGATTAAAATTAGACATGAACGATGTGACATTAAACTTTCTAAGTTCCTGAATGTTTTAACTAGCTTTTAAGAATGGCAAAATACACTCTTTCACTTCGGTTCTTCTATCTTTCATAACAGCATAACGATTTCATATTGTAGTGGACAAAAGTCAATATGAGTGAAGAAGTTGTATTTTTATCTCGTTGTCCTCGTGTGTATAATGTGCATTCGATCTATTCAAGTTTGAACACTGAATACATATGTTGGCATTAGAGACCGAAACTGAATCGAATCCTATACATGTGCTGTCGGATCGAATAGAATTGAAATGCCTCTATTCGGTTTATTTCTTTGAATGAGCAGTCAATATCAGAAAAAAGTAACAAGAAAGAAAAGAAAAATATGGTAAAATATATTCTTTCACTGTGAATGACACTAATTAAACTGACTTAATAATATTACGTGAAACAAATAAATGACGTAAACAAATTACATCGATATAAAAGAAAAGAACACTAATTTAGAAGTTATAAAGAACTCTGTCGAATTATTGTAAGCAGAACTCATGTTCATTAATATTGAACTTTTACGAGTCATTTTATACCATCGAATCTATTGTAGTTTTTCGTTTTAAAAAACAAAATGAGATTTCAATATAAATGGACAGATCTAATTTAGAAAAGATGATTAGAACTGAATAATATAAAAATAAACAGCTTGCTCAGAAAAAAACCTCAGAACATATATAATATGTAACATGTGCGAAAATAATAACATCTTTTCTGTGAGCTTAGGTCGAATGGAGACTTAGAAAAAGCAGGTCAAATCGAATCGAATCCTGGTGGAGGTTTTCTCATTTGTTTCCATCTCTGATTGGCATCATTTGATCATTCTCAAGAATGAATATAGTATTTTGATACTCAGTTGAAACAATCTATATATGGTAATAATACGTTTTCCACATATGAAATGAATCCTTTGCAATCGCTGGAACTATCTGGCAGTCGACAGAAAATTACAGCATAATAAGGTTGATACCGGCTCTTATTGCCGTTAACTACAACGGATACATTTTTCATTATCATCAGTAAACACTGATAATCAAAGGTTCAAATAAACATACATCTTATTTCTAGATACGATCATGGTATTTTTTTATGTGTCTCAGAAAATATTTCATCACTGTATTGTTAGAATGATTGATAAACAGACTCCATGGAGTAAAATATTGAAGGAAACGGACTGAGTAACGCGTTGCCGAGATTGTAACATGCGTTTCGCAGCATTCTTGCTTAGATAGAATGCGTTTTGCTACCGTCGTTTTTTGAAACGATTCAAAACGCTCTTTTGGAAATTGCGTTTCGAGACGTTTCCGAAGAGAAATGTTGTCGAGTGCACTTCGATTGACAGGTTGCGCGTTCCACAAATACAAATTGGAGAAAATGTGAAACGCGTTTTGCATCTTTTTGCTTCGAATGATGCAAAATGTGTTCGTTCTTCATACAGAATCTTGCAGGAATTCATCCATACAAGGCATATGAATTAAGCAAAATGAATTCTTCGACATTATTTTGGAAATCATATGAAATGGTACTTGAAAGTTTTTGCTCCTTGCCCTGTTTTAGTACATGAAAATGATGGCCCAGATTTTTTCGAAAGCAAGATTACAACTGAATTCTTCTAAGAGTTTAGGTTGCTACGCTGTTATCTAAATCTGATTCGAAGTAAGACTAATATTGAACATCAAAATGTAACAAAAATATATTCTTCTTCGTTGAAAACTCGTTTCTATACATTTTGTTTTTGAAAGAAATCGCGTTTCGTGACGTTCAACCAAGAATTGTTTTAAAGATTGTACAATTCGAAAAGATTTTCTAAAGATTGACGCTAATATAATAAGTACGATAACTTTGTTTGTTTATTTTTGAACAAAAGAATTCTCGCGTTATTTTTACTTGGAATAATTATTAATATGGATTGATATTTGGACTACTTGATAGTGACTGATGATACTATGTACAATAGTACTAGATATGGTTTTAGTTCGTACATTGTTGATGTAAGCGTGGCTTTTTAACAAAACAACTCACGGTGGCAAAAGAAAATTACTTTCATTTAGTGATGTAATTGGATAAAAGCATGGCGAATTGACATTTGCAAAAATCTATTAAACCAAGACAACAATTAACAAAAATTAATTTTTAATTATTAAAAATTTTATCTAAGAAATTCAATTTTTTAAATATTAAACATAATTTTAATTGATTAAATTGGTTTTATTGGATATTTAAATTTAAATTTGAAAGAATTCAAATAAAAAAACTATATCAAGAGAAGATTACACTCGTAACTGGATATAGGCACCAAAGAAACAATAGTTTTTAATTCATTGAAATTAGAAACTGAAAATCTAATTGAATAAGTTTAAGCAAGACTCTGAATGACAGTAGAATAAGCATTTGTTTCGTTAGATTATTTTAATTGAACGGTTTGTACACATCTCTTCTACTCTTATATTCTCGTGTTCGAATCCATGTCTTGACTTTATTAAAATTCATGTAAGTTATAGTTCTAAAGGTCTATGAAAAAATGTTAACCAGTACATGAATAGTATTTTAGCTTCAGATATATGAAGTAATTGACGGTTTTCAGTTTTTTTTTCATCTAGAATATACGACACTACAGTTTGAAAAAAGCTATGGAGCTTTTTAGAAAAACAATCGTTCCACAGCGTTTGTTTAAGCAGATGTGAAACGCGTCAAATCGGTCAGCATTAACGCGTTTCGCAATCGTAGAAAAACGCGTTTTTTTTCTCAGAAATTTACGCCATGGAACCTTCTTATTCCGGTTTAAAAATATTTCAAATTTGTAGCATTCATTATCATGCAAGTCTAAAGCATCGAGAGGTTATGTAAAGAGAAGGAACCAGTAAAAGAATTAAGGAGAACAAAAAAACAGTTTTTCTTTAAATTTCTTTTGACGTGATATTTGCTTTCTCACTGTCACTCTTAAGAGTGTACTGCTATTTTTTTGTACTACTTAAGGCGTCAATATTGAAAGGATGAAAAAAAGCGTGAGGAGGAAAAAACTCAAAGCAATAAAGAATACAATACGTGCAACTCAATCTATACTTCACAATGGAGTATGCCATCAGTTATTGAAGAATATAGTCATTCTCAGCATCGAAACATTAACTTTAACTCATTAACCCTATGACTACCAAGCTTATTTTTGGAGATAAATATGATGACATGTATTTGTA